GCGTTTCCCCGAGAAAGGCGACCGAATGCGGGCGTGAACGCGGGATTTCGCGCCAACGTCTCTCTTGCCGCGCGTCACGCGTCAAGTTCTACACTCGCGAGGAGACACGAACTGAAATCGAGGCCCGGTGGACTCGCGTCGCGCGACGATGCGGCAGATTCCCGGCTTCTCGCGAGATACGCGCCTCGGTGGATCGTCGACGCACGAGTGTCGAACCGGCGCGATTACTAACTTGATTGGACACAACGCCGTTGTGCGAGCCTTCGTGAAACGCGTCGTGGTGGCCGTCGGCGCGGGAGAACGATCCACTGCGCGTCCGTGATGCTTCTCGAATGATTCCAACATGGCGCAGGTTTCTGGCGGCACGACGCGGTACTACTCGAGTCGCGACGATTCACTTATCACTTTAATATCGCTCGCGCAATTAAACGCGTGAATGCGCACGTTGACGGAAAATCGAGCCTCGTTACGTTCAATTTATTTCGTCTATTTTATACACCGCCGAAGGCACAGCAGGCGCCAACGATAGACGGCGATACGGCGGTCCGCTTCCCGTACATCGAGCCGAGTAAACGCCCCGAGAAACGAAAGACGTCGTTTAATTATTACGCGGAGAACGAGCGCGCACACTGTCCCGTGGCATTCGCCGCGGCGGCTCGAATGCTACTGCGGTACACGGGGACGTCTCGGCGCGCGCTCGGGTATAACAAAAACAACATATTTTCGACGCGCAAACAAGCAAAAACCGCGCAACCGTTTCGGCGTTTTTCACGGGCAAACGGACTATCAGTCCGCTCTCCGCCGCATACCTGTGTTTTTCTAGAGTGACGCACGCTCTGTACGAATATCGTGTGCTCTGTTTAGCGTCGCGCTCTGTTCAGTGTCGTGCTCTGTGCGAACAATTAATAGCCTGGTTCACACCGATCGTTTAATACGCGTATAAAACTGTATTTCGGCCAGTGACCAAATCCGTTTACTAGTTATTCATTGTACTATTAGACACGCGTATGAAACAATCGGTGCAAACAGAACCGATCACGCAGTATACCCCGTGGAGTACGCGCCGGCGGCTCGAACGGTAATGCGATGAGGCGGCGAGCGGCGACGGTGGGGAGCGGCGGCTCGAGACAGGTCCGTGGCTGACCGCTCCCCACCACCGCCGCTCGCCACCGCGTCGCATTACCGGTCGAGCCGACGGCGCGTACTCCACGGCCGCGCGATCGAGCTCGTCGACTTCGTAGATACTGCAGGACACTGTTCTTCGTTTGACGGAGCCCAAGGGTGCTTTCGCGACGTAGATCAAAATGATCCGGATCAAAATGATCCGTGCTATGATTGGTCAAATCTGGAATTTCATTGAATAAAATTTCAATGAGATGCTACGAAATTTAAGATTTGACCAATCATAGCACGG